TCAGCATATATTCTTATCAACTCAATATTATACAGTCGGGTTTTTTTTTTAAGCAGAACATTTTTTTAAACTAGTGTCACTGTGTTTTTTAATCTTGCCAGTATATCAGTAAAGCTAAAATCCTTGTTTAGTTTTGATCATCATCCAGAATTAAAGTAACTGTTTGAATCTGTTTTTTTAATCACTAAGTTTTTCTTCACATATATAGAGTCACCCAGGGGCACACACAAACCTGATAGATAATGGCAAAACCTGCAGCTAAACTCAGCTGAAGACAAAGCTGTACATATATACAATTAACCTGAGTTGGGCTTTTTAATGAAAGGGTCAGACTGTGGAAATTCTCATTTGGGGTTATGAAACTTTTACCCACCAGACACCCTTCTTTAATTCATATCCCATCCTACAAAGTCCTTGATAAGTAACTCCCTTCTTTTAATATACTAGTGTGTGTTAGGATACATCTACACTGCAGACTTACTTTGGAATACAGTATTCCGGAAGATATATTCCAAAAGAGCTTATTTTGAAATAGAGCATCCACACTACAGGGAAGCCTCAAAATTAGTCCAAGGCAGGCTCCCCTAATGTGGATGCACTATCTCGAGTTAGAGCACCAGGAAGCACTGGGGAGAAATTACTTAGAATGGCCCTGGTGAGGAGCTATTTTGAAATAGCAGCCGTAGAGCATCCACACTGCAGCTATTTCAAAATAGCTGTTTCGGAAGAGACATTATTCCTCGTGGAATGAGGTTTACAGAAGTCGGAATAAGCCATCTGTTATTTCAATATTATTTCAAAGTAACAGGATTGCTGTGTAGATGCTTACATTGTTATTTCGGAATAACACTAGTTATTCCAAAATAACGGTGCAGTGTAGATGCACCCTAAGAGTGAGGAGGAAGGCATGTGAATGAAGCAGAATGCTTCAACAACTCTATAATTGTAATGGTTACACTGATTCAGGTCATTAGGCTATAAGAGTATTGGGCTTTCAAAGAGCAGCAATATATAACTTATGACCTTACCCCCCATCTCTAAAGGAGAGGGGCATGCAAGTGAAGAACTATAATACAAGTTCAGGGAAGAACCAATACAGATTTCATTAACAAATCTTCAAGCTATGGTATACTTATTTCACGGATTAAAACTATCATTTTGTTCGGTTGCAAATTGCAAGTAGAGGTCTTTTACGCCTGGCTTGCCTGGGCTTTGCTCCACTTAGAATATGCTTCTGAGGGGATTCGGACACCTAAAGTGGGATCGTCTTGTTCAATGAGCCTCAGAACCAGTATTTTATTCTTTCCAATATGCTCATCTCAAATCCTCAGTTTTCTCATCTCTTATAGCTGAAAAGCCATGAAATTTATCTATCCTGAAAACACTTTCCCCCCCTGAAAACCTACTTCAATAAAAAGCTTTCACTCTCTACTCCACCCCCACCAACCAAATAAAGGAGCGAAAGACGTGTACAGTATGTAAATGGATTACTCGATAGCAGGTTATGATGCACACAAGCAAACACTGAAGTTATTCAGTTGCCATAGTGACTACCTTATTGAAGTTATCTATTTCTGGAATTCCATCACAGGCCATCAATAGCAAGGGATCAATTTACAAGTACTCTGCAGTTTTTGACAGCTGCCAGCTAGGCAATGGGGGAGGAGGAAACATTACTTTTCTCCAAAATATGTTCCATCATTTTAAATCAGGGTACCAATGGAATCTCTATAACTTTACAAGACAGTTATACCAAAAAGTTTCGAGATTTTCCTCTTCTTTGTTTTAGTGGTTGGTAGTGTTTTACCTTTGTCAGATTTTATTCTGACAAATTGTATTCCTAATTTATTACATATCCTTGTGCCTATTAATTATCACAGAGACAAGGTAGATGAGGTAATTTCTTTTACTAGAGCAACTTCTGGGGGTGAAAGAGACAAGATGGTCCAGTAACAGATACTACCTCACTCACCTTGTCTCTCTAATATCTTGGGATCCACACAGCCCACAACAACACTGCAAATGCTAAGTCATAAGGATACAAGTAATTGTCAAAACAACAGAATTGCCATATGTAGTATTACCCTAGTATTCATGGTATAGAGATTATAGAGGCATAGAATCATAAGACTGGAAGGAACCTCAAGTGGTCTTCTAGTCCAGTCCCATGAACTCATGGCAAGACTAAATATTATTAGGTTATTGAGAATATCACTGTAGTGTGTACAAGCAAAAAAGTAAAATGACAAACATTTGAACAGCAAACTCTGAGTAATTGGGGCAGTCCTCTGACAGAGGCATGGACACAAGCAAATACTGCACCCCATTGCCTATATTTAAGGAAGCTTATCCCTCCTGAGCAAAACTACGAGATCTTGGACAAAGAACTCTTGTCAAGGAACACTGGCTTTGAAGAGTGGTGTCACTATTTGGAAGGGGCCCATCATCTAAGTCCCTGTATTACTGATGTAAAAAAAATAATCAAATACAGCTTAGGGCCCAAGCATAAAACAACACTTCCAGTGGTCCCCATTCTTCTTCTGGTTCTACTTTATCTTGACCTACCTCACTGGCACTAGAAATAGCAAGGCTGATGCCTTGTCCCAAAAGGTATGATTCTGACACACAAGGCCGTACTCCAGAACCACCCCACATTCTCAAGTATGATAATTTCCTCAGTGAGACCCACTGCCAGGATCTGCTAATGCTCATCCATTCTGTTTGGACTCTGCAATTCCGTCCAACGAGATGGCCATTATTGACCGAGACCCACATTACGTAAGTTTGTAAGGGATCACGTTTATGTTCCCCCGGGATCCGAAGGAGAGAAAGTGCTTCAGCTGCCTTGACTCTATACTGGAAGGACACTTGGGGTGACATAAAACCTGATAATTAATATCCAAGTACTTCTGGTGGCCCCACATGCACCTCACAATAGAGACCTTTGTTGCTGCTTGCCCACAACATCAGCCCATGGCAGAAGCTGTACAGACTCCCCCAAATTCTGGATGCCCCATCTCTGACCTGGGAGGCCATTTCATTGGACTTTGTGGTGGATCTAGCAGAATCCAGTGGTTTCATGACAATTCTGATGGTGGGTTGCTTTTCAAAAATGACCCACTTCATTCCCAGTTTGGTTTTACTCTCTGTAAGTGAAACCACTCAGCTCTGGATAAACCTCACAGTCTGTTTTCAAGACCTCCCAGATCATTTCACCTCTGAGCAGGGACCCCAGTTCACTGCCTATTTCTTGCTCAAAGCCTTATGTCTATTGGGGTCAACATGCACTTTTCCCTGTCTACCATCCTTAGTTAAACATCCAAATAGAAAGAATCAGTCAGATTGTAGAACAATATCTATGATGCTACTCCAATCACTAACAGGATGACTGGTCTACACTATCTCCATATGTCGAGTTCTTGTATACACAGGCCACAACACCTTATTTGTTGATAATGGGTACCACTCCTGATTTCACCCACCACTATCAGCATCTTCAAACTGCCTTCATTAGCCTTAGACCTAGTAAAACACATCCATAGCATCCAATAAGAGGTGAAGGGTTACCCTGAGAAGGCAAATGAAGACTACAAAAGGCACATAGACCAGCATCAGCAACAAGACTATGCCTACTATGTAAGAAAAATCTCAAAGTTTCTATAGCCAGGCAGACAGACCATCTCAGAAACTAGATCACTGGTTCCTTGGACCATGCCAGATTTAGTGACAAATCACTCTGGTCATCTTTGAGCTCTGACTCTCTCAATCTCTTAGGCTATGTCTAGACTACAAGCCTCTTTCGAACGAGAGCATCTAGACTACAAGCAGAATTTTCAAAAAAGCGAACCACTTCTTTGAAAAAGAATCTAGACACTCTCTTTCGAAAAAGCACAGTTTGCATTGAATAGCACCTTTTTTGAAAGAGTACTTTTAAAAAAAGGCGTTATTCCTTGAAGAATGAGGTTTACTGCAATCAAAAAAACTGCAGCGTTCTATTTAAAAAAAAAACCTGTAGTCTAGACACACCCTTAGAGTCCACCTTGTTTTCCACACTCATTGATATAACTCTGCACTCAGAATGCATTTCCCCATAAAGCCCAATCACGACCCATACTGGTGTTAGTACAAGATTAGGAGGAATACATTGTCCATGAAGTCCTCAGTTCCAAAGTCAGCTTGTGTAAATTTTGGTACCTGATCAACTGGGAAAGTTACAGTGCAGAGGGGATGCACCTGAGAGCCAGATGAGAATATTTACAATCCTGCCCTGATTTGGGTCTGCCATAGATGCCCCACTCAGAACTCTGGACCTATGTCACCCAGAGTGCACCCCTAGGAGAGGGAGTGATGTCATGACTCACAGGCCTTGAACTTCAGCCCACAGGATTCACAGGAGATGCCAACACTCCCTTTGACAGCCTGCTGATAACTCTTTACCCAGAACCCATGAAGCCCAGTCCAAATTTGAGGCTTTGCTCCTGAAGTCCTATTGGCAGAATCCCAGGACAGCCAATTGGCCTGACTTAAGCCAGCATCAGGAACTGGAAGTTGTCTGAACAACTAGGACTCCCTGCTGTGCACTGTGTGCTTCCCACTTCCACTCCCCCAGCTTGATTTCCTGGCATCTGACTTGTGGTTCTGATTTCAGGTTTGTCTCCTACCTTTAATCCCCTGGTATTCTGACCTGGCTTGACTCTGGTTACCAACTCTGGTTTCAATTGCAGGTTTACCTTCTGATTCAGATCTCTTAGTATCCTGACCCACCTAATTCTTGATTTCTGTCTCATGACTGTGGATGTGGACTCTGACTCTAATAACTAGATGTACCTGTCCACAATCTGGTCGTGACAGCAGATCATGTACTCAGTGCATTGTACAGACATTCACTCATCAGTCAAATTCCACTGGCAAACTATTTAGAGAAAAATTAAAAAGAAGAGAGGAAAATGCAGAATTCATGTGTGCAGTCCTGCAGAGAGTTGCCTCTCTGATGCACTCACCTTTGGATAGTGTCTTCGTTCCTATCAAATCTTCTGGCACAGTTAGACAATCTCTGCTGCTGTCCGATGAAGTTGTGTCTTTACTTAAAGAGTTCTGAGATTCTTTATTAGATTTGAGAAGCCGGCTTTCTGCCATTTCACTACAGTCTGCCATTGAATGATCACCAGCATGAATCTGAACACAAAAGGATAAAGGTGGATCAACCTCTTCTGGAGCAGAAGAGATGTTAACTATGTCAAGCCAAGATTGTCTCTCTGGATAAGACATTTTGGTTAGCAAGGAGGAAGTGGAACCTTCTGACTTCATGGTGCTTTCCAGGGAAGAGAGAGATGCTTCACTTGATAGAGGTGAGATCAA